ATAGATAGATAGATAGATAGATAGATAGATAGATAGATAGATAGATAGATAGATCGATAGATCCCACATAGACTGCTGATTTAAAGATATATTACTCATGAGAACTATTGTTATAATATGACCATATAGCCTACACTTTTAGATAATCGCGGTTTGTCCCTTCCGGCCCGCCGTACTCACTGATGTTACCGTGGTGACGCGAAGACGCTCTGCGCTAAATCCTCTTACAGAGCGACTGAGTTTCAGTCAATATTATCGAAGGAAAAACATATTTACTTTGGTTTAATTCGCTTGTGAAGCGCTGACAGTAAGGACTGGTGATGGCGTCGGTGTTGGACGCACTCTGGGAGGACAGAGACGTGAGATTTGATATCACTCAGCAGTAAGTCCGCAGGCTAATCTGCTAGCTCAGAAGCTAATGGCGTTCATTTATTAAATCAGATACATTAATTGTGAACTTGAAGGATATTTTGTGCTACACGTCGACAGATGTTGTAATCACAGTCAATGAATGAAAGAGATAAAATGATCTTGAAAGGTTTTAACATTCTCTCGGATCAGTAAGGTTTACAGTTTATAAACTAATACACGGAGTATTATTGTTAACTAAATTATAACAAAACTATTAAAAACGTGTGTTAATTAAAATAAAGATGAAACATATGAATATTAGATAAACAAAAACTACAACTCCAATTTAAATTAAAACTGAAAATATAAACATAAAAGCTTATATCATTTAAAATCTGAATAAAAACTATCATTGTATCTAAGTAATATTAAAATAACACTGAATATTACATACAGTATATCTAATTATAAAATATAATTAAATACATATCAAATAAACATAATACATTTAAGGTATATTATTACCTTTTTTATGTGGGCCTGTTTTTTTATATATATATTTTTATGAACCATTTAGTATTTTATTCTCCTCTCAGACCGAAGCAAGTGATTTTATGTTTCATTTAAGGCAGATGAAAACCAGACCAGGTGAAGCGCTTATCGACTGCCTGGATTCAATCGAGGACACAAAGGGAAATAATGGTGACAGAGGTGATTAAAAGTATTATTTCAGCCTTGTTACCTTTATGTATATTAAGTTGTAATAATTGGGACATCTTGTTTTGTCTTTATACAGGAAGACTCCTGGTGACCAATCTGAGGATAATCTGGCATTCACTGGCACTACCAAGAGTCAATTTGTGTGAGCGTTACATCTTTTATTGCACTGGACAGATGAAGCGCACTCATAAAACAAAATTTTGATTCTTTTCTTGTTTTTAAAGGGGTCATACGATGATGCTAAAAAGAACATTATTTTGTGTAGTTGGTGTAATGAAATGTGTTTATGCGGTTTAAGGTTCAAAAAACATTATTTTCCACATACTGTACATTATTGTTTCTCCTCTATGCCCCGCCTTTCTGAAACGCGTTGATTTTTACAAAGCTCATCGTTCTGAAAAGCGAGGTGTGCTCTGATTTGCCAGCTATCCATTTATAAAGAATATCTCTTTGGATTTGAGACTTTAGTCTTTGCAACTTTACAGATCTTCTTTATGCACCAAGAGCTTGTAACACTCCAAAGAGAAAGAAAAACTTGAAATCGCATCATGTGACCCCTTTAAGTAAAACAAATTCTTCATTTGTGATGTAATCATTCATGCATCAGAGAGCTGCTTAACATCAGTTGATGGTCACTGAGGAATCATTCTCTGACTCATCTCATCTTTTATATTTACCTTTTTATTTGTCTTCTATTTTTATTTATTACCAGCTGTGGGATACAACTGCATTATTAATATCACCACGAGGACAGCAAATTCAGTGAGTCATCTTGATGCATGTTTTCCTCACATTCTTTTAGCTGGCTCATATGGATGATGTCAAATTCCCTCTTTTTTCCAGAAACTGAGAGGTCAGACTGAAGCGCTTTACATATTAACCAAATCTAATAACACTAGATTTGAGTTCATATTCACCAATGTGGTCCCAGGAAGTCCAAGACTGTTTACATCTGTCATTGCTGTTCACAGGTACTTATGCTATACATAATGACACGATTAGACCACTTTAGTGACAGGTCAAATAATCTATTTTTTTTCTATTGCTTTTTTTTTTTTTTTCTTTCAGAATCTGAGTTGGCATATTGACTAAATTCACAAACTATTATTTAAATTTAGTATTTAGATATGTAGCTCAATATATACAATATTCTGTGAACTGCAGAATAATAAATTCCACATTTTTAAAAATATTTACAGTTAAAAGTATTTTAAGCAGCACTTTGAAGAAATGTTTAATACTTAAAAAAAAATGTAATTATTAGATTTACAGGGGGAGGGACATAAAGAAATACCACATAATCTG